ACAGTGATAAAAACAGCATAGTACTGGCAAAAAACAAAAACAGAAACAAAAAAGAACCAGACCTGGGGAATCAGTGGACACACTCAGCCCCTTTGACAAAGGGGCCAAACACCTTTAATGGAAGAAAGATAGCCTCTTTAATAAATGGTGCTGGATAAACTGGCTTTCTCCATGCTAGAGATTCAGACTAGACCCATATCTCTCACTATGTACTAAACTAAAATCGAAATGGATCAAAGATATAAATATTAAAACACAGTAAATCTTCTGGAGATAGAATAGGTAGAATTCTTGCAAGACATAGGTATAGGTAAAGACTTTCTGAACAAAACCCAGATTGCACAAAAAAATACTACAGAGTATCAGGAACTGGCATTTCATCTTACTAAAAAGCTTTTGCACAGCAAAAGAAACCACCAGTAGAGTGAGAGGCAACCCACAGCCTGTGAAAATATTTTTGCCAGCTGTTCCTCAAAGGACTACTATCTAAAATAGTAGAGAGCTAAAAAAATAAGACCCCCCCTCATTTAAAGACCCAATCCAAAAATGGGCATCTGAAATGAATAGACACTTCTCAGGTGAAGAAGTAGAAATGGAAAATACTAGAAGAAATGTCCAGCATCCCTGGTCATTCAAGTGATGCAAATTAAAACAACACTGAAATTACATCTCACTCCAGAAAGAATGCCTGTTATCAAGAAATCAGCCAATACCAGATTCTGCAGGGCTATGGGCAAAAAGGAACCCTTGTCCACTGAGTATAGATTGGTGCAACCACTGTGGAAATCAGTGTGGAGATTCCTCAAAAAAACTATAGACCTAGTTACCACCTTCTTGGTACCTACCTGAAAGAACTAAAACCATACTATATTGATATATGCATACACGTATTTATAGTAGCATAGTTTGTAATAGCTAAATCTTGGAAACAGCCCAAATACCCATCAACGAATGAGTGGACAAAGGAGGTGTATTTTTTTAATACAATGGAATACTATTCTTCCATAAAGAAGGATAAACTTGAGACATTTCTAGGTAAAATGGATGCACCTTAAGACCATATCTTATTCAATGCAATTCCCATTCAACTACCATCAACATACCTCACAGATCTTGAGAAAATATGCCTTAAATTCATCTGGAACCAGAAGAGACCCAGAATAGCAAAAGCGATCCTGGGCAACAAGGACAAGTCA